CTTTTCTTTGATTACTGGGTCAATTGCTTTGAAGACTTTCCTGGTTAAAGATTGTATTTTTCGGTAAATGGCTATTACCTTTATTTATTCCTAAATTTACTATGAATCCGATATGATCTGACATTTCATTCAAAATCTCACAGTAATATTTTTATTCGTGGAAACAAGTTTTTTTTAGCCGCCAAGGTTGGCGTCTCCCTTTTTTTATTTTGCGAAATCTTGCTTCGCTAAAGTCGGAGCTTTTTTGATATATACATACCCTTGACGCACTGCAGGTAGGTAATAAGTATACGGTAAATTACTGTAATTGATAAAGTACTCTAAAGGATTTAATACTACAGTCGTGAGTCGAATCACTTCGCATTTTAATTGACGTCGGCACAAAACGCATGAATCAGCATTGTCTCAGGACCCGGTAAAGCAAGGGCAGCGTCGTTCGGTGCGTTCCGGCTACAGCTCACCACTGCTTGTACGTTATTATTTGAGTAAAAATACGAGTTTCAGTTTTTCCCAATTTAAAATTATTTTATTGAAACTTTTTATGACTAATACTTTTTGCTGTTTTTGCGCCCCTGTTTAAACGGCGCCCGTGGCACGAGCCATAGCTACCAAACCCTAGATACGCCACCTGGAGAAAAGTCTTCAGTTTTAGCGATTGAAGAAAAGTTGGGAGCTGGTCAATATTATTGTATGCATTTCGATCCTTTGTGTAGCTGTTGTATCAGTTTGCTGCAACGTGAATACAGCACATAATGACTGTTTGTTTAACCTAACTTATGCTTGCATCTACTATTGTAGAGACCCTTTATTCAGCTGACCCGATAACCACAGTGCAACAAACAAACAAAAATGGTTGAAAACTTTTATGTGTTTTTTACTTTATTGTTGGTATTTCCAGTGTTTCTGTGTTCGATCTCCTTCAGTTCGGTGAGTTTGAAACAGTGCTTTTTAAAATTAAATACGTCCTTTTGTCCTCCTTTTTTGTTGAAAATTTTGTGTTCTCCGAGGACGCTCTAAAAAGTCAAAATGTCCTCCTTTTTCGCGGGATTAAATATTCAAAATTCTGTTATGATATAATCAACAATTTTTGATGTGTTAAGAAAATTTTAAAGTAAGTAGAAACTTGTAATTATCATTACACATATGGCACGCATGAAGCAATTCATTGCATTGAGATAGCATACAATACCTTTAGGTCAGTGTTTTGAACCTGGGTTCGGTGGAGCTGAGGTTCGCCGAAGGTTCTCTACAATAGTTATATATCAGAAGTGGGCACAATTTTTTAGTATAAGAGCCGCATGCTGCAAGTCAGAACTTTAAAAGAGCAGCAGAATTTGTGAATTCATCATTATTATCAAAATAACATGAACAGAAAAGAAATTCACACAAGAGTCTAATAACAATAAATAGATAAATGAGATATCGCGTGCATCTAACAGACATACATACAGACAGACCGATTAAAATCGATAAGTAACAAGGCAGCTATGCTCAAATATATGCACAATTTGAGCTCATTTAATTTGTGTTTCCTTGTAGCTGATTTACAAGGGTAGTCTCGTAAGAAGTTTTCATGATTCGATTCATGGTGCCGTTTAACATTGCTGACTTTATTCTGACTTAGTAGCTTATGGCAGATTATGCACAAAGGTTATTCTTCTGACTGATAAATGCGTATTCTTCTTTCCATTCTGACTTGACAACTCTGTTTTCATCTTCGTACTTTCGTTTCTTAATTGAGGACATATCGCACAGTAACTTAGAATAACTAACCGCAATTAAGCTGCAATACCGCCGACGCATCAATAAACATTGCATATTGTGACGAAGGATTTGCTGACTTGACTGACTTAAATTCAACGCTACAGCGATTTTCCTACTAAAACATAATTTGTCTAAATCATTGACGAAAACTTCTTTACGACTTTTAATAAATTAAAAGAGTTTACATTAAAGTTTTTCTCTTAGTTAAAATTTGGATAATAATTTATGTTAGCGAGGAGAGCCGCACAAAAAGTCTGGCGAGCCGCATGCGGCTCGCGAGCCGGGGTGTGCCCACCCCAGTTATATATAATAAAATCTTTCTAGTACCCAACTTACTAATTAAGAAAAAATATTAAAATTACGATAGTCCAACGAAGCTATACAATCTTACACGTTTAAACAACTCGTGAAATGGCTCAACCGGGCGTAGATTCGCGTAGATATATGTTCTATTGGACATGTCAATGACCGTTACATCTTGAATTCAGTACATTTCATTAAAACTCATATCAAAATGGTGCTAGTTCATAATGTAGGCTATGTCACTTTTGGCGAAAATCCGTGAAAAAAAACGCTCTATTCCGCATTCGGATGCAGTTTGAAGTATTGGACACGAATGACTTCAGCTACCAATATTTTTGAGGTATCGTATCATATCATCTTTCGAATCTCCAAAATGCAACTTTTATACAACAAAAGATGGCTGCTGCGAACAATAGAAGCACTGCCCTAGGATATATGCATACTTGTTATGCATATCCGTTTATCACGAAAAATCGTGTTGTTCTGCAATTATTACTTATCGATCTTGATCGGTAAATCTGTTGATAGGTATTTGTCTGTTTGTCTGTTAGATACACGCGATATCTCACGAAAGCGAGGTTAAATCTGCTCCAAATTCTGCATGTACATTCATCATATCTCGGACCAGAAGTCTATTGATTGGATGAATAATGTCGTATAATTAGCGAATTATTGATTAATTAGTGTCGGGACACACGGTGTCACTATGGAGTAAGAGCGCATGAATCGATCGATAAGTCTTCGGTCTCCGACCGATATTCTCGTTTTTTTACGTCATTTCATTGTATTTCGCAACTTAGCGAAGTTTCGATTTTGGCAGGAAATTTTGTCAGTAGACCCAGTAAAAACCTATTTCACCCAAGGGTTAAAGCAGAAATATCCATGCCTCAGAAAAGATAAAACTAATAGCGAAGCGGAGTGCACTACTTGCAGATACGATACTTTCGTTTCTGAGGTGAATAAAGGCAAGATTAGCTTACAGTTGCACGTTGACAAGACAAAAATGCATTATTGCATTGTCGTCACATCGTCTATTGTCACTTCAATATTTAAGCCTAGATATTTAGTAGATATATAATGTATATATATCAGGCACGGGTAAAACATGGTTCTACCGAATGTGTCCTCTATTTGGGGTTTGGAAATAGGGTCACCCTAATAAACGTCATAGTTAGCATTTATTGCAGATAGACTATCAGTTACAAATATGTTAACGTCGGAATTTTAGCATAGGGAACTGGCATGCAAGCCGGGCTGTTCAACCTGCGCCGATAGCTCAACGTAGTATATATACAGTTTTCCGTATTTGTCTCTAATTGTGGGTACCGCTAGGATTTTGCAAAAGCACAAAGGGGCTCAACTACGAAAACGCTAGTTCGAGAACAGCAGGAAGACAACATGGCTTCTACCTATGGGTGCCAGTATTTGCTAATGTTGCAAAGGTGCCATTGGTACACCATTTTCGGCCACAGGGACCATAGCCCAACCTACGCGATGTGGTCCAGGGTGCTACAAAGACGTTGGTATTCACAGTAACACTCTGGCCCAAATACCAGCGTTGGGTACCAGTTTTCCCTAACACTGCAAAGATTCGGAATGGCGGCGCGACGGATGCGTGCAAGATTGGTAACCAAAAAACTTAAAGTGAGTGAGTTGGCGTTCCGCACGGAGTTTGAAAATGACGAAAAATCAACAAAAACCGCCAGCCATTCATAAATATGCTAATAAATCAAGAAGCTTCACCGCACTTATATATCTATATATATATATATTTTAATGTTATAAGAAAACAGAAAAATGTCACATTTTATGTATATACTATATAAGTACAATCAATTAGCAAATAAGGGAAGAAAAACAGTAACATGTACTGTAACTTAATAGCAAAAAATTGGTTTTCGTTTCTGGATCCGACATCTATATATAAAAAAGCGGGCAGCCAATAATACACAATTGATAAATTGTTTTTCAGGAATGTCGTCAAATCCCATAAAACATTCTTTGATGGAAAGATCAAAATTCAAGTTATCTGTCTTGAAAACAATCCATTGGTCTATCTCAAAATTTACACGAAATACAGGTCATGTCATTGATTTCCTGGTTCATTTGACGCTTGCATGGTGACGTAACAACAACATTACGGATGCTAATTTATGTCAGGTACAGGAGTTAGAACAATTCGAAGTGTTGACCGGTAACCACGTCGTCGTTTCTAGTTTGATTTATTATTAGTTTTTAGTTATGATTGAATATGCTTAACTGAGTTGTAAGACTTTGGAGGAGTTTTAATTTTCTGTGATACTCGAAAAGCAGCCCGAAAAAATACCGGTAGGTTAGACTAAGCCGGTTCATGCTATGCCAGTACGTCCGAATCCTTTATCAGGATTAATTTGATCAGCCACGATTTAGAGTATATAGTACTAAAGTAGACCCGTTTGATTTTTTATCGAGATCGGTAGCCATGTGATTACGTTTATTTTGAATGCTAGCTCGTAAGCCTTTAGTATTTGGAATGCTGTAATAGGACCAAACTGGGATAATCCTGTCACTTTAGTTGTGATACTTTTCAGGCTAGAATACTCTAAATTGCAATAAGTTTTTTTGTAATGCGGTAATGCATTACTTTGAGGGGAAATGTCTCTGCGGTATACTGTACCTATATCGCTAGTAAACGCGATTCCAATTGTCCGATTTCAAACTCTTCGCGAATACTTTTATGTGCACTTATATATTTTTTCGAGAACTGTAACGTCACAAGAATTTATTTAATAGCGTAATAAACATGGTGCACTTAAGAATTGTTGCAATAGTAATCACAAAATTTCATAATTCCAGAAATTCAATATCCACCGCTAACGATTAATTGACATGTAATCTCGATGATAGAGCTGAGCAACGCAAAAAGCGTCCTCTCCCTCACTTTTCGCGAATCAGCGTTTCACGTCGTAATTCTTGAATATCTCCGCTTTGATTATTATGTTAGATGTTGGCGCAAGTCTGTGTGTGTATCACGAGCGACAAAACGAGAGTCTACGTGCTTGCCAAGAATAACGCCGGCCGGCCGTCTGTCAATAAATTATTACTAGAAATATCAAAAGTATTGCACGTTGGCCGAAACTCAATCCTGTTGGCAAATCCGTTTCGATCATCCGCATTCGATATTCTGAATTGCCCATCCCTATATGTATCTAATTAGGTTTAATCTGACAGTAAGTTTTTGGTGTCGAAAATTGCGTATTAATTAGCTCGTAGAAAACGCTGAGCTCGTGTTAAACGTTGTCGCAAGTTCATTGTTAGCATGGAATGATCTTTTCGTTTTTGAGATTATAGTTTTAGACCACAGATACCAAAACAGTCAGGTAGTGGATTTTTGTTTAATGGAAATGAATTTACATGACCAGCATCATAGTAATTTTCCAAATGCAAAGCGCTTGCAAAAACTAATCTAAGCTAACAAAACCCAAACAAGTAATGTTACTTGTAGGATAAATGACTTAGATAAAAATGATGACTAAGCAACCGGAGTTTAAATCAAGGTCTTGTGTAAACAATACAGAAGTGACATTGAAGAAATTCAGGCGTCACTCCCATTCACCTGGCGTGAGAGAGCTATTGAACGACGATGCTGGAAGATCGGAAATATCAGTAAGTATATAATGAATACTATTTTGCTAAACTTAATAGTTGATTGGTTTTGTATATACTTCTTATATGTTTGACTTTTATACTAATAAATTAATGACAGACTTGTAATTCGCTGGGAATCTGGCCAACATATTTATAGGTTGACTAATATTGCTTTGAAATCTCTCGTAAAATTCACTCCTTTATGATATTTCAGCGCAAAAAGCGTCGTCGTAAATCAGACAAAGATTGGAAAAGTTTAGCGATAAGAAGCGAACGTAGCCCGATGCTGGATGCAGCAAAATTTGACAGAAAAGCTATTGACAGTTCTAGTGAAGGTTTGATTCTAGATGTCTTATCTATTTACCATTGAAGGTTTTTATATTTACGTTACACTTTGGGAAGTCATAGAATAGGGGAAAGGTGGTCATATAATCTGCGCGTTATTCCCCGGTATTAAACGTACTTTGGTGAAGTAAATCAACTGAACTCCTTCAGAGGTAAAATAAGCACACACTATATTGATTGAAATCAGAAATGCACACACAAAGAAAGCTTGAAGAACACTATTATTCTCAAATCTCGTCCTAAGGCCGGAAATACGTCATCAATCTTCTCGCCACATAGCGCGGCAAAAAGCTTGTCGCTGGTAAATCTTCATCACCAGATTAGAATAGCCTAGTTACATTGTATTCAACATACCAATAACACAAATGAGTTAAATAACATTAAAATCCATAGTGACCATTCCAAATTTTCTACATTTTCGAGAATTGTGTGTATCAATCGAACCCTTTGAAAACTATACATTAGAAGGTTACGTTTTGAGCTTGTGTAACAATAGACGGGTGTCAATATAATGCATTTGTGTGAATGTGGCATAATTCTGATCGCCAGGAACACCACCCACATCTTATATTTCCGACCCTATACTTGCGTTTTTTTGTCGATTTTTAACTGAACGGTTTCTGTTGAATTTACAATTGCATCCTTGTTAGCATATTTTTCGTCTTTTACTGATATATTGTTATTAGGGCTGGGAATGGTTAACCGGTTAACCGATTTCAGATGGTTAATGGTTACGATTTATTTTAACCGTTAACTGACATCTCAGGTACAAATCATCTTCATACCGTACAATTTCTTCAAATATGATTACGTCATCGCAAATTTATCTCTTGTGGCATTTAATTCAAAAAAATATTACCAACTGTGTGGGTAAGGACTCAATAAATGTGAAAAATAATGGAAGTACCAAGATTGCTGATTATGGAAATTTGACAATGATGAATTCAGAATCAGTTTTCGGTCGATTTCGAAATATATTGTTCAAGATTTCATTGCAAAATCGGATATTCAATGTCATACAACAAGTGCGCAGTTGAAGCCGTTTTTCTTTATAGTCCAGCGGATAAAATAATGGAATTGTGCACTTTTGGAAGCAAGCATGAAACTTGGCACACATGTACAATAGCATATTCTGATTAATTTTGGATATGGTGCCATCCATGAAAATACCTCGTTGCCATGGAAACGAGGCATCATCCGTATTGCTATCCAAGTGTAAGAGACATTACTTTAGATAAGAATATTTCCAAGATAAGTAAACTGTGGTGTATTTAGGAAGTAAAGAATATGATCAGAAGTGCATTTTGACAATTACCCTTGATAACAGAATACCTGGTTACCATGGAAACGAGGTATCGTTGTCGACCAAACACAATTTTTAGCCATTTTGTTGCAGGTTCTTGATGGCTAGGTTCTTGATACCAATTATGGTTAAAAATGCAAAAGTGCCAAATGTGCCCGGGTACTGGCACAGGTACTGTAAACACTCTTTGCATAAAGAACGCCTGCTGGCATAAGTCTTGTAGAGACCAATACAATAAAACAAAGCTGCAAAGAGTAAAGAAGAGAAAATGTACAGAAGACGGAAAAGATAGTCATGCAGAAAATGAGAAAAAACCACACGGTTATCAGTGGAAAATATGCCTGGCATGTCAAAAAAAGAAAATTTGTCCTTTTTCTGTGAGGAGAAAGCATCCACAGAGGTTTTAAGATCTTCATCCACGTTTGGATTAGACAGCCGTGTCCGATCTGCTGCTTTGGTCCTGGAAGATGATAAACTAATCACCAAGTTGAATTCAGGGGATCTCATTGCAATTTAGGCAAAATACCACAAGAATTGTTTGTCAAACTTGTACAACCATGCAAGGGATAAAATGAGAAGACAGAGTAAACAATGTGACGATCATACCATGGCACATAGCATTGCTCTTGCTGAGCTCATTTCATACTCATTTCATACAATTAAGGTTCATAAGCTTTCAAGTCTTGTTAGAGACTACTCTGTAAGGTTGGCACAGTTAGGAGCTGATTCAGGCCAACAAGTGCATGCAACTCGTTTGAAACATAGGTTGATCACACAAATTCCTAGCCTTTGTGCGATTTCCAAGGGTAGAGACGTGCTTCTATCTTTTGATGAGGACATTAGTGACCTTCTATCTGATAACCTATTCCAGGACCACGATTCTGATGCAATGGGCCTAATGAGAGCTGCGGATATTGTCAGAACAGACATCTTAGATCACCAATACTATTTTCAAGGTTCGTTTGAGCCTGATTGTCAAAGTAAATCAATTCTTGAATCTTTGAATGCATTAGTAAGGACGATTCTGGAAGGCTCAAGCATAAAGAATCAAGCATCAGCATCAGGAAGGGAAAGTAACCAAGCCACTTTAACAATCGCCCAATTAGTTAAGTTCAATTGTGTTAAAAGCAGAATTCAAGTTTTGTGAGGCATCAAAACAGTTTGGAAACGCCATTGCCCATTACCCTTGTATATTGGGGCAATGATCCACACGCGAACGACAAAGAGAGGACTCGTGGACACGTTATTTGATCTTGGAATTTCAGTGTCTTATGACAGGGTACTAAATGTCTCTGCAGATCTTGGCAACCTGCTATCTGATCAGTTTGAAGCCACAAAAATAGTTTGCCCATCATCTCTCCACAAGAATGTCTATACGACAATGGCTGTGGATAATATAAAATATAGACCACAACCCTTCATCGGCAACATCTACTGACTCTTTCCATGATACTGCAATTTCAGTAATACGGGTGAATCCTAATTGATGACTAGAATCGACAACATTTCGACCTTTATCTATCGACATGTGCCAGCTAGGTTAGCCAAAAAATAATTAAAACTCGTTGGATATTGAACAAACTTCAGAAGCAGAAGCTTTCCTCTCGGATAATTATTTTATTTCCCTTCAGGTTAATGAGCTACGACATCATCCGTTTACAAAGATAGGGAAAATGCCAGAGAACATCCCCTCTACATCAAATTCTCTGTTGGAACACATACATAGAGCAATCTTCCAAGGTGTGTTTATTTGGAGCAAAGCAACAGAGGTTTCACAAAATTTACCTGATGCACAGAGATGGGGATGGGAAAAAGTAGGAGACAAATTTTTACCAAGATGGATGACTATCCCTGAAGCAGCAAAAATTTGCACAGAGCTGATTTGTTGTGGCCGCAAGAAAGGTTGTGCTGCTCGCTGCAAATGTTTCCGTGCTGATTTAGCATGTACACCACTATGTTTCTGTGATGGGGATTGCGGAAATAACGACTGACATTGCAAAATTGATCAGGGGATGCTACTGTACATGTGTGCCAAGTTTCATGATTGCATCCAAAAGTGCAGGAGTATATATCTATATCTATGAAATATGAATATTTCAATCGTTTTTCTATTTATTTTTTAATGTAGCACTCACATACGGGGACGTTAGATATAGATATATTCAACGATTCCAGCCGAGTTTGAGCTGAAATATAATGCAAGTTTTCTGTTTTTATCTGGCTGATATACTCCGTGCCAGAGTTAAGAGAATGAATTTATCTTTATTAATATATATGATGACGATATGATAGCTCCAAGATAACAATAATCCGTCAGCTATGAGATATATATTTTATATTTTCACCAGCTTTACGTGGCTATGAGTTTAAAAGTATACCATCGGCGATGTCAGTTGATTGAGCACAAAAGGAATTACATTTTGAAAGTGAATGTAGCTTAATTAATTTGTGATTCATGACAATAACAGAAAATACAGGTTGTGCGACAAATAATCGTGTTTGGTCGATAATGATACCTCGTTTCCATGGTAACCAGGTATTCTGTTATCAAGGAAAATTGTCAAAATGCACATCTGATCATATTCTTCACTTCTTATATACACATCGGTTCACTTTGAAAAGGATATGAAAATATCCTTTTATAAAGTAATGTTCATTTCACTTAAATAGCAATACGTATGATGCCTTGTTTCCATGGCAACGAGGTATTTTCTCGGATGGCACCATATCCAAATTTGATCAGGGGATGCTACTGTACATGTGTGCCAAGTTTCATGCTTGCTTCCAAAAGTGCATGATTTTACCTTTTATCCGCTGGACTATTATATGATATATATCTCGAAGTAAAATTTGCACATCGAACACTGATAATTTGTCACATAAATGACGTTAAACAACGGAATCGGGTTTTCTAAAATACTTCCACACGCCCGAATCACGTTGCCTATCTCTTGCAGCAGAGCAATCATGAAACTATCTCGATTCGTGAATAATTTTAGTAAGCGACACCGGGATAAGAACACGCGAAATTGCTTTATAAGCATTGTGACGTAACAAGCTGAAAATATAAATTATTACGTCAAACGTCACGCGGCGGTTAACCGGTTAATTTTACCCGGTTAACGGTTAAAGTGTTTTCCCTGAAACTCCCAGCCCTAATTGTTATATAAACTAGGGGTGAGGGCACATAAGCAGATTCGATATTTCACGCCAACAAGTATTTATACGCGAACGATCCCTTGTCTTTTTTGTAACATGTCACATTCCCAGTGTTTATATATATAATTTAAGTTTTATGCCTATCTGTGGTGTAATTCATGAATATCTTAAGAAAGAATGAAAATAGATATACCTTTTTTTACAATCTATATCAAATTGGGATTTCGTTTACACTTACAACATAATCGTATCGCACACAGCGGTGTTAATATGTTAATATTTTGCTATTCATCGTTAAATTGTAACGACTATTTTTGTTAGAATATATCCGACCGGCGAGTATTTGAATTTTTTCTCAGACTAGATTAGTACACATTCGGAGTCTCAAGTATGGCCTTTAATATGTTTTTCAAGGGCGTGGCTCTTTATATAACAAATCGATATTTTCTACTTTTTTAGTACAGAAATGCAAACCTGGGCACGACGAGTGTGGTAAACGAGATGAAAAATTTCAACATATTCTTGGTGCTGTGTTCTCTGACCCCGAATCCCAAAATCAAGACCGGCACTCACAGGAATCAGTTAATAGTGAAGTCTCTGAATTGAAGTTATCTTCTAGAAAATGTGGAGGTATTCCTGTCGTTAATTTTGTCGATTTTGTTTGTTTTCAGTATTTTGATTTCCACAGTACATATTATCTTTTAGGGATGAGTAGAGAGCTATTATTACAATTATTACTTGATCTTTCAAATAATGCGGACATTCGTCCGAAAAATCAGCCAAGATGAGAAACTGACAGCACGCTCGATCGAACATATTTTCCCGTAATTGAAATTTGATATTTATTTCAGAATCATCATCACGTTATTCGTCTTTTCCAACACAACACAAAGACAATATGCTATATTGCCAAGAAAATTTGGTCGATAGCAGCAGCAGTAGTGATTCAGAGGAATCGAATACGGCCAACGAAAATTCAGCCGATGATACGAACGAAGAAATATTAAATGCATTTAATTTTCTTGCTGATGGACTCGATCCGCAACAGATCACGTCTATCTGTACATCCGTAACGTAAGCAAATGTCTGATGTTAGCTTTAAGTTATTAATGTTTAATTCAAGCGTTGACGTTTAAAAATAAATCATGATTTTATGTCCCATTTGGAATATTTTATGCAGACCCCCATCCGACTAAATTATTCGAATTAAATCACGAAATTGCTCTAAACTGGGCAGGGTGTAATAAATTGGGTAAGCAATGCCGAACCGGAAAGATTCCAGTCCTTACAAACAATAGTAATTCACTGCACGTCGTAAGATAGGCCGCGGCGGTATGGCTCAACGGGCTAAGCGTTAGGAATACGCTCGCCACCGCACCTCCAATTACTCTCCGCGGGTTCGCAGGTTCGAATCCCATGCAGGGATGGTTATGTGCGAGAGGATTGCTGGGCTCCTCGCCGTCGTTGGGTGGTTCACGTAACCGCTGGTCGGTTGCGGCTTCCTCCACCACCAGGTCCATGCTTCCAATATAACTAATCCCATACCCGACTTGGAATGTTAACCGAACGAGAGGCCGTGTTCGCCATATGGGGTTCGCCATATCGATAAGCCGTCTTATCGGCTTTCCTCTCCCCTGGGGTAAATATGTAAATCCTATCCTAATATATCAGTAGCTCGTGACATCCTGCACTCTCTTTTATTTGCATTTATTCATGAGCTCATTAAAAATGTTATTGAACTAAAAATAATACGTTTCAGGACCATGACAGATCGGTCCAACTTTCTCAGGAATATGTTTCAACTGCAACATAAGTCGGAGTCAGACGACGATTCCGCTTCTGTTTCAAATGAAATGATTCATTCTCATCAAACGACGACCCCAAGTTGTTCCATTCGTGGTTCTGATGACATGTTTGTTATGGGCGCGGCAGTAACATGTTTTGACAGGGAACGAGGTTGTAGTAAGTAATTCATTTATTTATCTCACCTTATGATATTGAACAAGCCTGTGGCTGTGGCTGATTTTTTTGACATCGCTGTACCCGTTTTGAGAGAATATTGGGGCAAGTGGATATCATTTAAATATGTATTGATTCGCTAAAATGTCAATTTTTTGATAACTGGATCGCGAAATACGAGAAATAATTGTGTAAGGAAGGAGTAGTAGTTGATAGTTGCCGTATATCAAAAATATTAACATGTTTATAGTATGGTAAGGTAATGCCTTTAAAATGGCTGCTTATATAAAATGAACAGGATTTACCATGTTATTACAAAAATGTCCTAATGACGCCAATGATTAACATTTTGTGACAATTTTTGTTTTCAATGAATTTATGCAGCAAGAAATGACGTACAGCAAAGTCCCGACATAACGGAAGTCGCTTCTCCAGCCTCCCGATACCAGCATTCGGATGAACGCTTTAGGAATTTTGATTCGGCGATTCATCTGCGACGCTTCAGTAAGCAGTTTGCAGACATAATGAATGAAAACGATGATCAGCACTGTGATTACCAATTGGGGTATATTCTCTATTATATTGAGTATAATATTAGGAATTGGTCAGGGTATATATTGATTTTACTTTATCCTGGTTTGTTTTTAATTAAACCTGTACTCATTCGATAAACTGTTATATTACCTCGTTTGAACTGGATGTGCTGAAGCTAACATAGAAATAAACTCGGCTTTTATTAGCTCAAATGTCAACAAAGTTTCTCGAAGCAGCATAAATTAAATAATGACTTTTCAATCAAAACATCGTGTCGTTAAAGGACGTACAGTAGCAGGGTCTAATGTCTTGACTGTATGACGCGTTGCTAGATCTTTAGACACAACTCGCCACACTGAATGGATTTAACCAGCTAAGAACAGATGGCCCACACAATTTGTTGCACCAGGGGTATCGAAGGCTTTTTCGATTGACCATTTTACTAATCAAGCCTCGAATCTTGCCTGAGACATCAATATAGTTGCAACAATATAGACAATAACAGTAACAGCAACAATATAGTAAACATCAATATAGTTCCTATTTACAACCATGGATTTGTTATTGTATCTGCATAAATGTACATCGCTTCAGTTTTATAGAATGAAATTTAAAACATACTTTTCCAGATTGTTTCCTAATACAGCAAAGGCCAGGAACGTTGACCGCGATACTTCAGAAGAATCTCATTCCACACTAGAAAAATTTGACTTTCGTCAATATAATGGCGAAGGAAATTCAAGAAACGTTACGGATTTTAATCCACACGAAAGGAAATATAGAAATAGTCCAAACATGTTTGAAAGGCATATTCTACCACATGATTCAAGATCTCCAGGTAGTTTATTTTCGTGATTTGTCGAAATACCAAACATATCACTGGGTGTTAATCTTAATTCTTACACAAGGTCGTATTTTCGATATTTATATATCCACACGTTTTGTTTTATGTGGTTCTACCCGTAGATAGTTTTATTTTTGAAAATAGTTCATATATATAATCGTTTCCGATTCAGCGTAGACTACGACCAGGCTCAGGATGTGTAAATAAGCGAGTTTACTCAACTTACCTGTTAGTTTGAAAATCGTACTGTGCGCAAAATACCTAACACCATTATTTGATGAACAGGTCCTTTGGACGTAATACTTACTTTATATAATCGTTTTCTTATTTTTACCATATGCAGCATCTGATGATTTTGAGCGACTGACGAATCGCGCACTTGCCACTGTGTTGGGCGATGATTCCAAATCACCACCTAATTTTTTCAGTCGTCCGTTTGAGTTGATATAAATCCAAATTTGTTCTTCCAAGTGCCACTGAACGAAATTCAATCTTTCAAGAACCATTTGGATAAAGAATGCAAATCTCGAATACTTCTACAATACTTCTCTCGAATCCATTCTAACCTTTTCGACACAAAACTTTACCAGAGATTGTAAAATACTTTACTTTTCCACATATTCCATTACGGAAATGCTCACACTGTATCTTTGGTTTTGCACTTTGAGAAAAATAAATTTCTAATATGTAAAGCACACCATATCGTATCATTTATTTAAAGGAGATATTAGTTATGGCTAAAATCACAAACTGTACCACAAAAAACTGTCACGAAAAATACGGAGGTGTTTGGTAAAAAATATATTTTTAGTTGTATTTTGATTTATTGCGCTGCATTTGTCAGGGTGTTTTGTTGATTTGCCATGTGTTTTCCGCTAGAGCAAGGGTCGGCAAACTGCGGCCCGCGAGATAATTTGTTGCGGCCCTCGAACGACCCGACATTTAACACATAAAGCAAAAATTACTACACGAATTTATGTGGTAACAAGTGTTGCTGTACGGCGTTTGTTTTGTAATAAGTAGCGCCAGTTGTATGTCGTTCGAGTTGATTTTAATTTTTCAAATTTAAAAATATCTGGGAAACGGAGGGAGGTTCGCGACGACGGGCGAGCATTTCAAAGTGCTTGGACAAAAAATTATTTTTCTTTTTTGCTCATTTTAAAACCAATTTGCTCGATATGCCCAGTCAGCATTGCAATTAGTAAGGGATCAAATGTTATACTCCTTACGAAACGTGTCATCGAAAATTCGACCGTGAACCCCAGGGATGCGCCACAGCTGATCTATGCGACAGTGTAAAACGCAGTGGCGGCGCGTCAATAGGGCCAACCGGGGCAATGCCCCGGTTGTTTTTTCGGTATAATAAAAAATATTCGAAAAATACCTCAATATCGGTTGCACAGACTGTCTACATTAGCCATATTCTCCCGACATGGTTCATTTTTCGCTCGCAAAGCCTTCGCCGAACGTCGACGGGGCGGCGCCGATTTTGCCCTGGTTGCTCATTGTATATCGTATTCTCTCTTTTATCTTCCACTCGCCGCGTTTGTCTCGTTTGTTTTCTGTTTCTTTTACTAAATCATCGGGGCTAGCCCCGAAATTATGACGACACAATGCCGACGTTTCTTACAACAACGTGTTGACGTATTCACGCATTCCTTCTCGTTCGTTGGTTGCTTGAAGAGTTGATAGTTTCCTCGCCTTCGTTTTTGTCGCTTGTTTCGCTATTTGAATCAGTTAGAGACCTTTAGTCCATTTGCTTTCGATTTTCCACATTCCTTTTGAGCTCCTCACTTCTTTCCGGCTTCGCATTTCTTAGCCTTAGACCTCATAATGAATAAGGTTGATGCACTACTTCGCACTCCGTTTTCGCAGCTGCCGCTGGAACAAAAATTAGAGGAACAACGTCTTGGGCCTTATCAACCAAAAAATTGTTCACTGGAACAATCCCATGACGGAGGAAAGCGTCGGCGTACATTCTGCGCAGAAACTTGGTATAAAAAACACGAATGGTTGTGTTACAGCGAGGACAAAAATGCACTTTTTTGTTTTTATTGCCTACTTTTTGCTACCGCCCGTGACTCACGTTGGTGTAAATTTGGTTTTAGAGATCTTAAACATCTTTCCGAGCGTGCCAGGGATCATCAATCTTCTATGGACAATGCAGTAAAATACCGAACATTCGGAAATGTTAATATTGCAGCACAGTTGGATGAAGGACGCGCGGTTTCTATTCGTCGGCACAACCAAAACGTCGAGAAAAACCGCCATGTTCTCGGTCGATTGATAGATGTTTTGAAGTTCATTGGTTGTCACTAGCTGTCCCTCCGTGGGCACGATGAACGGGCTGGCTCTTCTAATAGAGGGGTATTCTTGGATATGGTGGAATACACCGCATCCCTAGACACAGTATTGAGAGATCATCTTGATGCCGCAACTGTTTCGAAAGGGACATCTAAGGATATCCAAAATGATTTGCTCGACTCAATGTATAAAATTTATTTACAACATTTGGCTCTGGAAATTGAGAATTGCCAGTTCCTTTCGATTCAGTCTGACGAGACAACTGACATCACGTGCGTTTCCCAACTGGCTGTGATTTTTCGCTTTGTGAAAGATGGTAAACCTACCGAGGGATTTCACAGCTTTGTACCAATCGTTGATCGCACGGCTTACTGGATATCGGCTGTACTGAAAGAAGTGTTACAGCCTTACAACGCGAAGTCAAAATTGATGGCTCAAACTTATGACGGCGCGGCAGTCATGAGTGGGTCGAAACATGATGTTCAAGTTTATATAAAAGAAGATTTTCCTCATGCGCATTTTTTACATTGTTATGCACACCAAAATAACCTCGTTATTAAAAATATGTGTCTCGATACCCCTCTCGTCCGTATATTTTTTGCAAATGTGTCGGGGTTTTCTTCATTTTTTTCCGTTTCGCCGAAGCGCTCTGACCTCCTTCGCCAGATGTGTAGCCGCCGTCTCCCAGCTTGTGCACCAACACGTTGGAACTTCCAATCACGCGTGGTGCAGGGCGTGTCCGAGCTCTGAGTGTTTAGGTCTGAGCTCATTGAGTGTTTCAATGGCATTCAGAGCTCTCCGGTTTGGGAGAACGCTCTGTGAGGGAGGCGGCAGGTCTAAAGCGTCTGCTAGAAGATGGTGAGTTTTCATTTTTTCTCGCTTTTTTCTCCACAATATTCTATCACGTGGATGTATTATACGGCGCATTGCAGTCAAGGCTAATGGATGGAGCGTCTGTGCAGTCGTGTATTTCAGACTTCTGCGATGCTGTATCTCGTATCCGGGAAACAATAAAATACGACGACACATGGAGTGCTTCTTTACGCTGCGGGCAAACAACGCAGCGTTTGATTTTGTCTGCAAAGGAATACTGTGACATTCTGGTGAATCAAATAGGCGATCGTCTGCGCACTGAACACCTTGCCGCGTTCTCTTTGATGAACCCCAAAAATTTTTCAAAATTTGCACGTCAATTTCCCATCCATTTGTTGGCTACTGTCTCCAAATTTTACCCCATGATAAACGTGGGTAAATTGGAAAATGAATTGCGATGTATATACACCAATCAAACTTTTTTGAACATCACATCAACTTGCGCGCTCTATGTGTTCCTCATAGATAACACTCTAGTAACTACCTTTGCGGCGTCTGCAAAATTTCTGGACATCATTTCGACAACGCCTATTTCTTCCGCCGACGCAGAGCGAACATTCAGCACGCTGAAGCGTATTAAAACGTATCTCAGAAACACAATGAAGCAAGATAGATTAAATTCCTTGGCTGTTTTATCCATTCACAGAGACGTTATTTCTGGGATGCATGACTTTAATCAGCGCGTTATTGAGCATTTTGCTTCCAAGAAACCGCGGCGTGTTGCATATATGTTCAAGCAGTAGAAGTCTAGCAGCATATATATCTATGAGTGAGCGACGCATGTCCTTATCTTTGCATTACCTTTCCTCTCTTCATAGTAACGTTTTAAACCTTATTTTAGGTTTTGTCTGCTTTCCCGAAGTTTCTGTTAATATGTCATTGTATTTATCTGGATAAATATTGCCTTTCCTTTTGAAAGAGGTTTCAAAATAAACTATGTCTATATTTATTAATCCCTTGACTTGGACCGGTTTTAAAGACACTTTCTTATCGTTAAAAATTGTCGCTTTTGCCGATTGGTTGTTACCGATGGAATGGTTTTTATACTCATAAAATGATGGGAGAACTTACAGCGCTCATCCTGTCCCCGTAGATGGGGGTGACTTGGTCCCGCAGTAGCTTGCCCCGGTTGTCAAAATGACCACTCGCCGCCACTGGTAAAACGTGTAATGTACACGTTCGGAATCACATATTGCTGTGAGCGGCTTTATCTAAAATGCATTACACTTGAAATAAATTTGTTGCTCGCTTGTCAGATCGTCATTTGAACGACGTACCGCGGCGTACCGACGTACCTGCCAGAAAAACATAATCCTTTACATTGATAATAGATAAATAAAAACAATGTATTGTTGGATATTGTATTAAAAAACGCCACATACACACTCATTGTTGCAGGATTTTACCGCAGCAATAGAAGGTACGAAAGCGCCATAATTTGAAGTTCAATGTAACGATTGTTCGAAGGCGGAAATATTGCGGCCCGCGCGCTACCGAAAATCTGTATATTTAACCCGCAAGTACATAAATGCCGACCACTGCACTAGAGCAAGGCTGAAGTGCTATGTGCCTGTTGGTTAAGGTTACTTACTGGTAAAGAGATCAGAATCTTTTCGGTAAGGCATAGCCTGCACACACACAGAGTTCAATACACCCTCTTGGGAGGAACTCTAGGTCTAGACCAGGGGTGGGCAAGGTTTTTGAACCAGGGGCCAAAGATTTTGCCCACTTAGTCTGGTGGGCCATGTAAGTGTGACGCATTTTATGAACAATATTTACAGTGTTATAAAGTAAAGGTGGAAAACAATAAGCATAGTGCCAAAACTAAATTAAATCGCAATCTCAACAAATTCCTTGAGCTATTTTTTAGCTAAAACATAAAAATTTCAGTTTGGTTGTGGCAGCATCAGGCTGGCCAGATTGAATTATCCAACGAGACGGATTTGGCCCGCGGGCCCTACTTTGCCCATTTCTGGTCTAGAATCTAGTCTAGATCAGGGCTACTCAACTGGCGGACCGCGGTCCGAATCCGGACCTTTCGACCATAAAATTTGGACCGCGTTTGCTTGTTTATTTTAGCAGCATATGCATCGTTTTATAGTTTTAAATGATTTTGATACAATTTAAATACACAGCTATACAGTTTGTCGTACTGGTACCGATGTGCGATATTTGTGTCCATATTTGCGAGCCATTCATTGCTCTTGTATTTAAATTAATATTGAATTTGAAGTTTCGTTTATTTGATGAAATATATTTTCAGTAATGTCCGGACCTCAGTAATTTTGAAGTTTCGTAAACGGACCTTTGGTGAAAATAGTTGAGTAGCCCTGGTCTAGATTATCAACCTACGATCTCAAATGCCAACATAGTCCAGCGGTTTAACCACTGGTGGCAGACTATCGGTTTTCCCGAGCACGGCTTTAGTCGAATTTGAACAATTTTGTAACCACTAAAACAGATAACTATAATTAAGGTATGAAAATTATGCTCTAGAACAGTGATTATCACTAATTTTTGTTGTTCGAGTTATGCGGGGAAAAAAGCGAAAAGCTGATAAAAGCGAAATTGCAACTTTGGAAAATCGAAAGATGTTATTCGTTTCTCAAACTTCAAACCGCATTCAAATGCGGACAAAAGCGATTGCTCCTTGTTTCACAGAATTATAGATACGATATATGACTCAGCGAGAGGTTCAACCGAACCCAGGTTAAGAAACACTGCTCTAAAAAGACGATACTTGTGGTTGGGACAAATAGCATTCTATCGTGATTTAAATCAGTGAACCGCCACACCATTGTGTATTTACTGGCTTCTTCTACGTACATTTTGATAGGGATCTGTGGATGAAGTGTAGGCTATTGTTACCAAACTTAAGACTCAAGTTTCTGATTCTTCAAGAAAATCATCGAAACAGCGGGTATCTGATCTACTTAATCTAAGTACTCCAAAATTGAATACGACTTTCTCCAAATTTGATTCAGGATTACAAGATGTCGCCCCAGGATATATTTTCCAGGCAAAAACAAGCTCATTCACTGAAATACGAGAAGCAACGTGTTTTAGATAACTTTATTCATATTTGTGATTTTTGAAAGAAAATGGCAAAAATATTGGGTATTTACAAAAATAGTATATCGAAAAAATCGTCGATGTACATATTAATGAATTCTAGAAACTTTGTATAAGGAATATTCCTGTAGAATATATAGGCGTGTGAAATTCAATTATCCAGTAAATTTAACACAAATTTAAGCCGTCTATATATATAAGGCGAAAAATTAGAAAAAAAAAACAGCAAAGTTATAGACTACAACACGGTGCTGCTAGAAAATGACATGACTTACAATTACCTCAGTATTTTACAAAATAATAAGGTCATTCTATTGAATTTGGAAATAGATGAATTTATTGCATATTGTGGGTTGCTGAACAACAACTAATGAACAAACGCTGGAGACCAGGGAGCAGTTATCGCCTTCTGTACCATGTTAGTACGAAAATGGGATTGTTTCTCCGGGACATATCATCATACAGGTAAATGATACGGTTTCTGGTGGTGGGGGGCATATGCCGTATTATCTACACCGGTATCTAGGTACCTATCAGGGTAAGCTCCGACTTCCTGCCTGTAGTAATTATGGTCCATAGCGCTGTAGCCATGCTGATGGGGAGGTGCAGAGCCAGGTCCGTAATAGTCAGGGTACATTGGGCCTGTGTTTTGTATTGAGTGGAATTGTCCGTCCATTACGGCTGCTGGTGTATCTTCATGATACCCCAAATCCACTTCTTCAGTATATTCATCGTAGTAACTTCTATGCTTGCGAGGATGTTGGTGCTGTGTTGGCTGCTGATCAGTGCTTGAGTTTCTCGATCTTCGACTTTTGCCAGAGCGAGTTTCATCATTTAGATCATTGGATTGATAAGACTAGGTGGAAGGAAAAAAATCAAAAACTGGCGTTGAATCATATATGTATTTCATATAACTGCTTTAAACATTGACTTCAGAAAAGCGAAGTAAATATCTAACGTTTCACACTGGCTCAGGGTTATGGCGATGTCATTCAATTTGATAATTACACGGCAACAATTAAAATTGACTGCTTTGTGAGCAAAGAAAAATGGGTACAACTTTTACGTTGATGTCAAAAAAACGCAGTTTGGCTCTTGCACTACTTAAAGAATATTACTTTATTATTATTATATATAACATAATTAACGTAAAATTACTCACTGGAGGACTCGACATATTTTGACTTGAGCTTGAGGGATGACGATATTCATTTCCTTCTGGTGATCCGGTGACCAGTTTGCCTTGGGATTTTCTTGGTTGCTGTGGAGCTATACCGGCCTTTACTGCATCGCGTGTCACAACTCCTGTTACCATCATATCATTTCTTGCAGCAATTTTTGCAGCCCTGCTAACTGGTTGATTTTTGGCATTTTTGCCTTGCAATTTTTGCTTTTTTTTCATCTTCATTCGAGCGTACAAATAGGCAAGAATACAAACCACTATAAAACCACCAACCAGAAGACCGACAATCAATCCGGTAGATGTGACTGGAAAAAGATATGAAACATATTAAAATAAATTCAAAAATATGGCAAGGCGTAGTTTATTCAATATTGAAAGTTAAACGCATTTCAGTGTGAGTGCAGCACTACACATTTTATTAGAGATTGAAAGGAAAAATAAGTAAAGTATATAGCATCGTGCTATATAGGTTTAGTAAATCATCAGCTTTCATGAAATGGATAAGGAATTTCCCATATTCTCATATTTTTTTTAGATTGTAATTCAGAGCAGAAAAATTGAGATAAATCTGTGTCAATCGAATAACACAAATCGATGTTAGAAAATTAAGACTGTTATTTTCATCGCCACACACCAAACGACACAACAAATGTATTAGCTATTTGCATAATAATTCTATTATTCTCATGGCATACTTGTAAATGAAGTAGAACCTAAGCGGAATTCTCGTATTTGCAATGGCAGCGGCTCAAAAAGCAAGTTGAGCCTCTGTTGAAATTTACCTATTCCAACGTAAACAAGAAACTTTTTGGTGATGTTTTTCCAATTTCTTTTTTGCAAAAATATTTCAAATCAAGTGCTTTAGTCTAAAAACTTTCGTTCTAGTAAAAGTTATCCCCACAGACAAAATGTCCTCTGAACTTGCAAAAAACTTTCTGTTATCGTTTTACATGGATTTGCAGATTCTCATACACAGTCATAAAAGCGCAAAGAAACAAAGTTTGAATCAAGTTATACATACCACTGCATCCGACCTCTTTTATACTCCAACCATCAACTTCACATTTGATGAATTCCACGCTTGGTGTTCCGGAGTCGCAGACTATTTCACATTTTGTTCCACTTGGAACCATATTGGTCGGTAGTCTTGGACAGATTTTGCCATTTTCTGGAATGTCAACCGACGTTCCCATGCAATACACTTGAAATAAATAAATGTAATCAATTTCTAATTCGCAAAAGACTAACATGACGGTTAGAACTTGGGAGTATCGGGTTACAGCATAAAATCGCACAGTCGAATATTGGCTGACAACTGTGCGATTGAATGCCAGAGCTAGCGGAGAAAGGTTTCGTGCGATTCACTTTTATAATGATTTACTGAAATACATTTGTTAAATAATCTTTGACTAGTAACAAGCCAAATATGGTATCTATAAATTCAGTTCCAAGTAGACTTTGAAAAAATGTTATCCTGTTTTTACGAGCACAAAATGGTCATAAAACAGCATATTTGTGGCTATATGAATTTAGACTGAAGAACCGGTTTGGTGATACTGGCGGTGTTTAGCCACCGCCGTACAATGCCCCAAGGTATTACATTTCGATTTCGTCAATATTCTTTATTGTTTACATTTTGGCTGTATCGAATAGTCAAATTTAGGGAAAAATTCATTTAGATATTACATTAATTAACAGTGTTTTGTTTTAAAGTTAACAGTATTTTAGCAATTGTTAATATTTTCCAGTCCCAATATCATCTCATCTAGTTTCAAACTCCGCCAAATCACACACTACTGTTTCTATTCAGTGGCAAAACTATAAACTAATAAATATAATAAATAAATAAAAAGAAAATTACTTACTTCGAGGCATTTTTGAAGATTGTTTTTCTGTGAGCAAAAAGAAAAATTATCGCTTTTATCGTCGATCAGTAATTTCAAATGTTTCAATATTACTTCTATCATAAATCTTAACCAAACTCCATTTTACTCTTGAAAATATCTAAACGTAGAAGTTAGTCATGTTTTATCATTAGTTGTATTGACTATCTAGCTATGATGAGAGCATAAATTGTGTGGATACAATAATTTTAGTTTTAGAGATTAAATAAAAAGAGTAATTAGTGGTATATTAGTATTTTTATACAGCATTTCACTTAATCTTTGACAAGGCTATACTATGGTATGATAGACTAATACTATGATAGACTAATACTATCTAGAAGTGAAACGGTTAACAGGGAGATTGGGATTTTAAATCAATCCTTATTTCTCTACAATCAACTCAATGCACCGATGTGGAGCTGTATATGCTCGATATTGTAAAAATCAGAACTGTCATAAAGTAAGTTCATTCTATTTAGTTGTTTATTTTAGTTCCCTCGCGAATAGTCAGTATGCAAGAGTAATCATTATGTGCACGTGGGTCTTGATTGTAACGCGAATCCCTACTTTGGTCATTACATGTACTCAAAATTTCAAGAATCCCTGTATTAAATAGCTAATTGTCTTGAATTGCATGTCCAAGTCAAAACTTTTTACCTTCTGAACACAATTACAATTCACCAATGACGCTGAAGTGCCGAGTTGAAATCAGAATTGATAGAAGGGGTTCTTGAGAATGAAATTTACAATATTTCCCAGTAATAAATTATGTCAAATGATCTATATCAAATATCTAATCAAAATTTTCACAGATATTCTGTATTGAACAAATTTGGTTTCGATTTAGTGAGAAACTCAACAGCTAGCTGATGGGGCCTCTTGCCAAAACGTCTTCAACTGATGTTGAGCAAAGTTTGAGTAGTAATATGTTGTCGTTGATATGCCAAAATTGTTAGATTTTATAGGTGTTTATTTTACATGCTCAATTAGTTAGGGATTTATTAATTTTTTATTCGACGATACGAATTCTTGTTTCGTACCATTCACTAATTTCACATATATACAGCAAAAGAAGACACAGGGATATGTTTCGAAAGACATTGCGTTTGGATCTATTTAACCTGAGTTCTCAATATATATTTAAACAGTTATTTTTCTTGTCTTGTTGTGATGTCACAGTATGATTTTGGCAATGGAATACATAGTATTTTTCACTTTAATTGCGACGCCAAATACCTGTGAACCGTTCTATACCCTATATATCGTTTCAATCTTTGCAGGTCAACACACTTCAACGGTTTATCACAGCTTTCTTTTGCTTTTGTGCTGTAGACGCCTCTTTAAATATATAATACGATGCACAATTCATTGAAAGTTCAGGAATAACAGTGAATGGCAGCATACTTGCTTGAAGTTTTACACATTTTATATAAGGAGGATATATATAAGGATGATCTTTCCCGTTTCTTATCCTCAAATTTTACCGAGCGATCTTTATCGGACTGTAGTTGATTTTTATATTACCTTTTTGTATGGGAATGCTTCTAGAATAGATGCTACTTTCTTTCAATTGTTTAAAGGTATCACCTTTTTTGTTAAAAACTCTTAATTGGAAATCAACAAGCTTTTTTCTTGAAAAATAAAACTAATTATTTGAAATGTTGGATTTGCTCTAACTTTGCTATATCAAAACTTATTATCAATACATAATATTTAATCTTCCACCTCTATATCTACTTCTCAAACTCGAGCCTAAGGTCTCCTAGAACGTATTTTCCACGTTTCCTATTCCATTAGAAGCAACTCAATCCAACAAATTGCTTTATCACGACGCGTCTAAAATAGCTTGTAACGAGTTCCATCAAGAGTTGTTACACAACATAAAGAAACCAGAATGAAGCTCTTTACCACGGCAAAGTATGTTCCGATACGAAACGTTATTTCGCCTCGGGGGATAAAAACAGAATACTTGCCTTTTTTCAACTGTTTTATCGTTGGATAAGTGTTAAATAGTCAAAACGCACACGTCCACTGTAGATTGATTGGCTGTAAATCTAAAAAGTGACAAAACTTCCTTTTTAACGACTTAACCTGTAATTTATATGTACATTCGCGTACGTAAACTCGAACACGCTGTAAGTAAAGCGAAAGTTAGCAATTTTTTTCAATTACCAAAAAAAGGAATTATAAGAATTTATTTATCTCTTTTTGAATAAAAACGAATATTCTACCAAGATCATATTCAATAAAATGTTGTTTGTTCCATCTCGTAAATATTATTTCTCAGCTGTACGTATCCAAAAGTACAATTTGAAATCGAGTATTCAAACTTGTTTACGTCATATTAGATGACATCATCAGTTTACCAAGTAGTTTATAACTTATTTCCGTAAATATCCTATTCTACCAATCGATCAGTGTTTTTCAAATTAAATTTTATTACATACTTCAACTCATTCGAAAAGCGTGCTTCGCGTTTTACGACAATCAGATGTTTTCTCAAATCGATCCATTCAGTCCGTATTAGCAGTCTTTTATGCGTTTGGGAAGGCATACTTTGACATAACACAAATGGTTCTTGGACAAGAGCTTGCAATCGATAAAACCTGTCCATATATATATATATATATATTTTTTATTTTTTCATTGAGAAGATATGCCTGCCTGAATAATCATTCTTCTGAACTTATCCCTCAAGTAAACTGTTTAGTCGTCATGCTCTGTTGGTTACAAGTTTTCATCACTGTCAATATCTTACAGACAAAAATTTATATATGTGCCGAATGTTTTTTTCGCGTATTCAGTTGGAATACACTACCTTAAAGCTATTTTACTGGTCGTATGAACCTGAACTGCTTCTAATATAAAATCCGGCGCTGTTATATTTTATGGTTCTAGAAGCTTATGGAAATTCAGTGTTTGTCCATAACTTTGCTAAGTGAGAATATGCGTGATCTTGTTTTGAGTCAATATTTAATAAAAAAAAAATCTGAGTGATTAATAATTTTGATTTCGTTCAATACTTGTCCAAAATCTATACATAATTTTTATAGTGTTTAATGTTTCTTCATCTCAGCAATATAATATATATGGTTTAAAACCTACTAATTGCATCATGAATTTGCAATTTTGATTTTGTCGTGTGTATAGAAAGTCATTTAACTAATTGACTGAACCTTGATGATTTTTTGAACTAAAAAAAACAGCGCGTTTGGAACATATTTCTCACATTTGACACTTGTATATTTCAATTCGTTTGTTAGACCACACCATCATGGTCCATATCGAACAAAATAAACAGATCAATAAACACAATATACACACTGAGGACGAAAATTGAAAAAGTTTATAGTTCATGTGCTGGACATATGTGATAACATGTACATTTTTAGCAAAAATTAGTTATATCAAGTAATCATCGTTTTTAGTGTAATTAACCACTCCTTTTTCTTTTGGAATATTGGGTTTAACGAACGTTCTGTTAACACAATATAATTATTATATATTTGGTCGTCTTTGTCAAAGCCGTTTTCTAATAAATACATGCTCATATTGCAGAATATTTCATAGGGAAACGCTATTCCGTATATCATACGTATTTCGAAAACTCTCATTTTATGAATAATTGTAGTCAAGCGTATTCTTTTTGAAGATATGGAGATTATTGTCAACATTGGCACAGGAGATTGAAAGTATAAATAAATATGACGGCTATATTTAATTCTGAACGTTATCATATTTGAAACTCATGCTTACTCTCTGGGAAAAATGTTTGTTCTTATTTTTTCTGTTCCAACATACGTTTATTGCTTGAAAAATGAGTACTTCCGTATATAGTATGTGTACCTGGTTTGAGTTAGGTCATAAGTTTATTTCGATTTTCTTTATTTTACTTCTATTAAGAGTTCGAGGACTGTTTGTGTTATATACCCCCTGCCCATAGGCTCCCGTCCCTTTACACAACTTGATGTAAAGTAAGCGAAAAAATTAGTTACCTCTATATTGGTACACGTACTTCCGGAGCGCCGAAAAATGTTACTTTTTGAGAATGAGTAAAATATATTGATAATGTGATCGTTTGCCTGATATTGCGTTTCAGTTTTATTGAATTATTTTCTGCTTCAATTTGGATGATTTACTCGCGAGTGAGGAATAATATTGATCACATGACCAAAATTGGATCGATGGATCTATTATGCGAGTTATCGTTTTATTTAAATGTGCAGCCCAGATCTTGTGGGGTCGCTCACTTTTGCGAAAAGCGTAATTATATTGCACTATTGCAATATACTTATATTTCGATATTTTGTGAAACGTGGCGGACTCAACGTTATTAAAGTAACCAAACGATTTTCGTTCTACCAAGAATGGTAGTTCCACTTCGCACATAGCAATTATATATTTCAAGTGTTGTTTTCACAGACATATAATCTATTACAGTTGCATGCAGCCGATCATAAACGAAACGCCCAAATAGATTGGTGACAGCAACACTCCATTGAAACAGCGTCCAGACGACATAAGTAATCCTTATTATGAGTTAGGTTTTAGTGTCACAATATTCTGCAATATTAATTGTTTTTCATTTGTCGTCATATTTCATCAACCGTTTTATGAGTGTTGTGGAGGAATCTTCTCACAACTAAAAAAAAAAATTCTTTTTTCAATTCTGTCGCCAATCTATTGATCTGCAGTATTAATTTTTATGGGTCAATCTGATTACATTTTGTTTAGCAGCGAAAAGCATTTTGTATGTATAACAATACAATTTTAAATATAACAAGATTTTTGTAAAAATTATTTTTTATATTCAACCCATCAAATTTCAACGGTCAATCTATTCGTCCATGCTTTGTTTACGTTTTGTATCGAGTAAACAAACAAGATTAGATAGGCGTTTCATGCAGCTATTGTCGTTTTAATTACCGAATGATAATTTATCAATCTTGCGTCGAATTTCCACACCCTTTTGACTGACAATTTTTACATACACGAAAATTCTAGAAAATTATCCTCTCACGTTCTGTGCTACTGCTTGTTTTATGCCATGTTTGTGGTAGAAAATGCCGTTACATCATGTATATTTATTTTTAAAACGCTGACTTTAGCACATTAAATTACACCATTTTATAAACCACTTTTATCGTTTAGGTCCACAGGAAAATGCCGGAAAAATAGACAAAAACAATACTGCAATTTCGACGTAATTTACAACCAAATATGCATACATTAGCATACACTGTATTATTCTACCTATGATCGAGTGAGATTTATATCATAGATATCTCACATCAAAGGACATGTCAATTCCACGCCGTTTTAGTCACTCATATCATTTTATGTTTATAATCAAAAACCGGATCTCTATTATGGAAGTTTATATTTCAGAAGAAATTAATACTGATGTGGCTTCGTAAAATATCAGGTGAGAGTAGAGAACTCGAGCCGGCGCACGAAATTCTTGCTTGCCCGCGGCAAAATGGCTACGCGTCTTCATCGAGTAACGCTATTATCATGATTGTATTTAATGTATGAATATAACGAGAGAAAAACAGGTCAGGCAACCAAGTTGTTTGAATTTAACGTCAAACAAAGTTGATAGAAATGCGATAGTTATAGAATTAGCGCTCGTTTTTGTGTTCCCTCAGTATGTGGTATACACAACTCTGGGTATTTTTGCAAATATTATCCAATTATGGACAGTCAAATACGAAGCGTAGTCAAATTAAGAGTGAAGGTGAGAATCAATTTCACAGCATACTTGGTAGGTGAGGCTATAGATATGAGTAGTGTCAATCAGGTTCATAGATAGCATGATTCAACCGAATGTGCAGTAACTGTATTTAATAGGAATGGATTAAAAAAGGTCTTTTATTGTCAATAAAATTCTCCGAGTAAACATATATTGATTGAGACAGCGTATATAAAGTAAAATGCACATTAATAGTCTATTCTGTTGATTTCAAAATATAACGTTGCACATAAGATTTGACCAAGGAACTAGGTTAGAAATGGCAATATATGCGACATACTGAACAAAGCATAGTTGTGTGACTGTTGGGGGAAAATTTTTGTAATAATGTTATCATTTTGGGATTTAAAACTTGAAAATATCGATAAAACTGAATTTATTTCCCATCTCAAGGTCACTAAATCACTACAATTGCATTGAATCTTTGCTATGAATGTACTTATAGATAGGCAGTTAAATATAACATGAGTCCACAAAAAGGGGAAAAAATGCCATGTAAGGCCGTAATATAAAACTAAAATGAAGTTAATTGTGCATAATTTGAGTAGAGTTTCATACTTAGTATCACAGAACACCTCATGAACTTTAAAAGTGCTTGTGACGCAAAAATGTTATATGAATATAGGAAATAAATATTAATTCGTGTTGAGGAAACCAAAGCATTTATGTTTTTGAATACTTTTAGCCAACAATGTTGTGTTGACGCAGATATGGTCAATATATTGCGACGTAATCATCATTTCTATTGAATCTAATTTTCACTCGTTTCCGAAGCAATTAAGGAATGTTTTTACTGGCTGTATACTCTAATGTGACGTTTCAAATCCGGGTTTTATAATTACTTTGAAAAAATGATTGTTAATCAACACGGAAGTCCTGTGTGACGAAACGCGATCGGAAAACGTTTGTTTCAGGCCACAATCTAGTATATTGCAACCCTAATGTTCGATGATTTGCGTCCAAAACTTCATTCAGATTATTTTTTGAGTAAAAATATTGGGTAGCCTTTGACTCCATATATTGATGACACTTTTCCCATCATACTATTAGAAATATAATAATAATAATAAACGCGTAAAGGATTTTTTCGAAATTCTACGGAACGGCACTGTTATTCTAATCGGAATTACAGCAAACTACTAATAAAAACTGTAATATACAGTAGCCTATAACTCCAAAAAGTTTTTACCACCAGCATCTCTCTTAGCTTCGAATCCACCGAAAAGACAAATGTGGAATAGAAAACGGCACTTCTGTATTGATATATATCAGGACTATAATATACTTTGACATTTTGAGTTCACCATAAATGCAAGCCGTACTTGACTTGCTTGATTTCCATTCTTTCGCAAGGTTCAGTTCAGTCAGGATTCGCACTGGGAAAATAGGAATGTTTCATGTTTTGCAGTCATATTTCTGCTCCATTTTTAACATAACCAGAGCGTAATTTTATCATCGAACAACTTGTGATGCAAAGCCTAAGGCAGTAATTCGGATACGTTGAAACCTGATCCATCTGACAAGCTAAATTAAACTTTACAACTTCCAAAATGCGCACAAACTGACACTAGGGCAGTATATTTTTTTTTATATATTTAGCGTGCTAATAAATATATATGTTCATCAAAAATCAGTCTATAGTCACAAGCATATAAATTTCAGATGAAGACAAACGGTTAGGCGTAAGGATGGTTATATGGTCCTAATTACCATGTGAATATGACAGCAGGAGAAGCTACAACCGATGCCGATGTCCCGGAAAACTTTAATTTTTTTCAAGGTAGTATCCTAATATTGCTCACCACTACTTTTCTTCGATTCTATCCCAGGTTAGGTTGGGTTATTGCAGCATAATTCTCGGTTTATCTTATATTGTTCAATATAATATTGTTCGATATGGTCAATTTTATTTAATTTTAATAAATATATATTCAAAGTTCACAGTCTTATTTTAAACAAACTTATAATTGTGTTCAATTAAAAATTGTTTTTGATTAGTTTATATTCCCGGCATATTGGTTGCATAAATAGAATTCATGTAGTTAATAACGGAGTTCCATTCATTCAAAAATGAAGAAGAACGGGACAAAGGCATTACCGTTTATTTGCTTCTGTTTACTGGGAATTTTCGTACACTTGGCGGATGCAACAAGGAAAGGTAAGAATAGTCTATAGATTTATGTTCAGGGCTCCCATACCGTGGCACTCGCGTATTACAAAAAACGTGTCTTAGTTTTCGAGATTTTTCCCTTATTTTGATGTACGATCGATTGGTTGTCCTATATTTGGTTTCAAATTATTTTCTTAACATTTGCTTCAGTATTGTTTTACCTTTAAATTTTAACTTTAACTATTTTAATGTCGGCATTATATGATGTGGGCAATCAAAAACATGCCCCATTAAACGTGGTTATGTTTCATGTTCACATACGTTCGTAAAAAACGTGAGAACTTAATTTTACCCTCAGTATATATATATGTATATGCTTTTAATGTTTTTTCTACAGCGACTTGTAATGGCTGGACGTTGAAAGCACCAGACGAAGGTAGCTTCCAATGTACTCCACTTGGTGTTACGATTTCAATGCCGGGGACGAGATGCACATTGTTCTGCGATGCAGGTTACCGAGCCCAACAAGAAGTTCTGGTTTGCTCGGAGACTGGAGGATGGGTCCCCACAAATACACCAGAATGTTTGGGTAGGTTCTTTATGATTAACTCGTATACTTAAATTCAATAATATTATATATATATATATATATATACGTGTTTGTCTGACGGTAAGTTGCATGGGTGACGAAAACAGTTTTTCTTTCAGACTTTATCAGGTCTTGTTATGAAATTGATCTCATTTACCTCAGTTTCATGTTGCTCTGCAAAGTTCGTAAAAATAGATCACTATATACAGATTTGTGATGACCTGTCGATAATCGTTTGTTATTCATATGTTGTTGTTGAAGTAACAAAATGGGATGCTAGATTTCTCACTCACACTCACACCATATTAGAGTATCGTTTTTATTTTATTTTTCAGTTGACAGCACGATGACGCTTGTTATCGTTTTGTCCATTGTTGGGAGCATCATTATCATATTTGGATTGAGCGTGTTATACGCTAAAACATCTAAAAGATGCCGAGGAAAGAGGCGGAAACTAGAAGAAGAAGATCCAGAAACTGGTCGTTCTGCAATTAACGACACTTCCGCTTACTATGGACATGTGAAGCGTCTTAGAAGAAAACGACGTTTGCAGGCCGAACGTCAAAAACAGGTAGTTGAGCGTCCAAAAAAGAAAGGAGACTCTATAGACAAAACAAAGCCAGCATCAAAACAGCAAGGCCGCGGTCTGAAACGAGACGATAAAAAACGCGAAATACTTCCCACAAAAGTTGATCAAAAAGACAAAGGAAGAAACGCAAACAAAAAGACTAAGCCATTAATGAAAAACACTAAAGAGAGGCTCAAAGCAATACCAAAAACAAGATCGAATCGTAAGCCACCAATGACAAAAGTGAAAGAAAAAAGAATTGCGTCGAAGTCAAAACCACTCGCAACAAAAGAAACAAAAAAATCATTTTCTCAAATACTAAAAGAGATATTTTGCGGCGCATGCTTACCAAAGAAAACGGGGAATCAAAAAATAAAGTCGAATTCTAAAACAATCAATGAAGATGTTAAGATATTCTCAATTTCCGAGTCGAAGTCTGTTCTAAGACCATCAAAATCGTCGTCCTCGGACAGTAGTTCTTTTTTGTCCAGTTCCGAATCATCTTCCAGTTTTTCATCTTCTTCCGACGAAGACGAATCTCCTCCCCCTAAACAGTCAAAGAAAGTTGACAACACAGAAACTCCAACCAGCAGAGCAAACAAGCCACCACAAAAGCCTCAACCGCCAGGGACTAAAAAACCTCCTCCTAGACCTCCAGCGCCAAAAATATTACAAAATAAAACTCGAAAAGCATCTAGCGATATATTAAACCATTCTGGCCATTCGCCCAAAACACGCAGTTCGGAGGATATAACACCGCCTGCCCGACATGGAATTTCAAGTGGTTATTCATCAGAAGGCGATCGACACAAACGAAGACGTGGTCATAGTGAATCCGGAATTCACCGTCATTCAGACGATGACAAAACGTTGCGTAATCATTCTGCTATCGAAGATTCAGGGGCAAAACGGATGGATATATTATCGCCTGGTCCGCTCGATGCAGAAAAGCTGACTGGAAATCCGTACGAGGATTACCCATCAGCACTCTCATATCGACAATATCAAAACTTCGAAAATGATTATCGACGGACCACAGGAGACTATCATCCACAATACAGTAATATTAAATTGATACCTATTCAAACAACTAAGAAAAAATCAAATGAAGAAGAAGAAAACGAAAGGAGAGAGAGGGAAGAAGCCGAAAAAGAAGCACAGAAAAAAGCTAGGCAAAAGATGACACAAGGAGGTGTCAAATACATAAGTATTGACGAAGAAGACGGTGGAAAGGATGAAGTTCAGAATATAAGAAGCAATAAAAAACAAGGAAGGAGATATGAGGATCCATCCGCTCGTGACAAACGAAGGCATTCGCCTGATTACCACAAGCGACATAGAGCTCATAAACAAACAAGAAAAGATAAATCTTCTAAACGTACGGATTCAATAAAAAGAGACAGAAAGCGCGAGATCGAAGACGAGCGCATTATTGACGATGGCAAAAAACCTAAGATGGGTAAAAATAAGAAAGAAAGGCATAGTTCGCGGAATCATGTTAATAACAAAGGAGCTAAAAGGAAGGAAACAAAGTCCAGGGTTGATGCAAAAAGATCAGATAAAAATAAAAAGTAAATGGTTTGAAAATGATGGTCCAACCAGATGTGGCTTTTCGACGGAAGAAGCTAAATGTGGCAAGTGTGAACGATGGGAACATACAGGTCTGTGATGCACACTGATTGTAATATGAATCTCATAACAACGTAACTGTGGAAAACATATGATGAAGGTGTAAATTCAAGTTTTAAACTGTTAGAATATGATAATGCATTAAAATATACTTCCTCTTTAGTCTTGAATTTTGTGAACAGATCACTTTAATACTTTTTTTTTTTTATTTCGGTCCGTATTAGAATGTTTGCTGTTCAGATCACGGTATCGCAGCTGATAGCGTTTATTGGATTTTAAAATCTCGTGATGAAATTTGAATAGAAATTTATTTAAAACAACATTTCAGTTTTTCTATAGTTTATTTCAATAAATGATTGAGGTTCATTACTTGATATAGGTTATCCCCGGTGTCTTTACCCAATTATGGATATGGAGTGATTTAATGAGTGTTTAACATCAAAAACACTAAAACACGTCGAACACAAAACACCACAGCTCAATCATAGAAGTTGCCTCCCTAAACTCCCTAAACGAAGAGAGCTACTTGCGAAATAATTGACAGTTGTCAGATTATAGGTCGACATATACACCAAAGTTGGCTACTTTAAAGTATGTTTGGGACTATCACATCAGAAAGAAAGTGGTTTATAAATATACAAACATACAGACATTAGTATATAATGTTTATAGGGGATATAAATATATTGCATGATTTATCTTTTAAGATGATGAGTTTGGCCAAACAAAAATTTGTTTATTGAATTAGGCTTTTCCCGACATCTTGAATGGGTTGACAAGCCAGCATGATCTTTGACGTCATCCTCGATAAATTTCACTTTGGTTTTTATCCAGAAATCAGACAGAAATATCGCTGGTTTCTCTTGTTGAAAATCTGAGACATATCGATTTCCAGAAATTAGCAAACAGAGTTATGCTAAGGTCATGGGAGATCAAAACCAAAGTAATCAAAAATGATATTGATGCAATTGGTATAGGATTACAGTACGTATCCAGCATATAAAAAAAAAGTTAAGTAGGAGCGGAACATTACTGGAAGTGATTTTTTTTACACCAAGGCCGCGCAAGCCGCGCCTTTCTATATATAAAATAGGCATGTAAGCAGAATTTTTTAATTTTTAGTATAGGCTAAGCAGTCGTTTCATCCTTTTTCGTAAAATTCCCCCCATTGCCTATTTTGGTGAATCCTCGATTTCGGGACTCGTTGTCTTTTTTCTGTTCTTATCGTGGTTCTGTTGGGAATGGAAATTTCAGGGAAAACACTAACTGGGTAAAATAAACCGGTTAACCGCAGCCCGACGTTTGACGTAATAAGTTATGGTTTGAGCACAGTAAGTCCGAATGCTTCCAAGGTAATTTCGCATGATCTTATCCTAGTGTCGATCAAAATTAATCACGGATCGAGATAGTTTCATGGTCGCTCTACTGCAAGATATTTGCAGCGTACTTCGGACATATGGAATTATTTTAGTAGAACCAATTCCGTTATTAAATGTCATTTATGTGACAAAACTTGGGGGTTTAAAAAAGAAAAACCCCATTCACTGCAATCAAGAACTACTAGCTCTATCAGTTCCGTACGATGTGATCGGTACGACATCCGTCCGTACCTTAAGAGTGTGTATTCAACATGACTGAAAATAGGACTCAAAGCAAGCGTTCGTCTCTACCTATTTAAAATATCGATATGCTAATATATTTCTGTGACAGAATGCGCACTTGATGAATGACATTGAATAGGCAGACACTCTTGCAATAAAATCGCGAACAATATATTCTGACTGAAAACTGATTCTGAAATATCATTATCAAATTTTCATAATCAGCAATACTTGTACTTCAATTTTTTTACATTTTTGGTGCTTATCTATTCAGTCTGGGATATTCTTTTAAATTAAACGCCACGGGAACACATTTTTTGAAGAAAATGTACAGAATAAAGATGATTACCCAGCAGTCAACTTTTAAAGCCCTATAATCTCACATCACATGATGCAAATGCAATGCAAATATAACACTCAATGTTGACGTCTTTGTCTGTGTAGAGAAAGTTTGTGCAGATTCTCTTGTGTTCATCTAAAATCGGCAATTGTCCAATCACGTGTTACGAGATTTTCGAATAGTAAGTCGCTATTCTAATATTCGAATATTTTGCCCAGCCCTACTCGGTAACCAGTAATTAATTATTGACGTCATTGATTTCATGCAATTGAACTTTATTTTTATGTATATAATATGTAAATTCTCATGTAAATCAGAACTAGGCTGGTATTTAAAACGCTTGCAGTCGGCAATGAATTTTTTCATGAGAAAGTGGCCGCGACACTAAAAAGATTGGGCAAGCCTGCTCTACGCATTTCATGAGGTTGACTCTAAGGTATTCCTCAATATTTTTTTAAAAACAAGTCTTTTTACCTGTTTTGTTCGGAATAAACGTTATATTTTTTTACTTTTTCCTGTATATATTAAATGAGAAGGTGCTGGTAACGAGGTATGACGACTTATGCGATGACCATTTTTCTTCCCGATGAATGAGATCGACAGTACAAAGGGACTGGTTGATGAGAGGTGGAAGATGAGATGAAGGTAAGATCTGGTAACAGTGTTATACTACATATGACGTCATTTCTCATACATCTGAAAATCAAATCGGCAGAATAACCGCATGCTAACCGGATGCTCATAATTGGGCCGGGTGAGTTGTATTTCTTTTAGGCTAGTGAGTTCAGGTTAAATATGTGGAAAACTCGCAATGACAGTAAAAACGTAGAGACCCTCGCCAAGAATGCGAGCTACTTCAAACTTGTAATCCGTCTTCGTTTCGAATATATATTTATAGTTGGTGATTAAAGTTTGTCTGGAACACAGTTATACACGAACATGACTTTGAGTGCGTTCATGAGGCGAATACATATGCGTGAAAATGTATAAATGACCGTGGATGTAGATGTACATTAGTACATATGTACGTGGGTGCAAATGTGCATGCTGGGTGCAAATGTACGTAGGTACAAATGTTCATAAGTAGAAACCTACTTGGGTGCAAATGTTCGAGGGAGCAAGTGTGCATGGTTGCAAATGTCCGGGGGTACAAACTATATGCGGGTGCTGAAATGTATGGGTGGAAATATATGGGTGCAAATGTCTTGGGTGCAGCTTACGGATACAAATGTAAACCTGCTGTAACCTAATATTAGTTGTATGCCGAATAGCTACGTGAACATCACACTAAGAATTCAAATTCGGGACACCCATAAGTTTGCAAATGTTATAAATAAATGAAAAATGAAATGTCAAAACCCATCAACAAGTCATAGTCGCAATGCGAAAAAATTCAAACCGAAAAAAATGGTAGCATATTATGCTTTCTGCTTAAAATGGAAAACCCATAATTCCCAATGATGTGCACTTTGTATCTTGTAAATTGCTAATCAACAGTTATAAAATATGCAAGTGTAACTCAAATTCTCTAGCTGAAAGAAACTCCACAGTCTATGACGGTATTAGTCACGTCAGAGAAGATCAAACGTTTGTATGTTTTAAATTTTAACAATTCTCATACACATACGAGTATGAGAAGCAGGATTTGGGCTACTGTATTTCATATATAGACAAATGTGCGCCGACCAATGCATATAACTGTAGTATTCTGTTCATATGACGTATCAGTAAACTTTGTTTGAAAGCGAGGGGTGACGAAGAGCTTCTCAGTCAAAGAACTATCTTGAACTTCAAAATTTGTCAAAGACACCTGTGTCGATTTGCTCATAGCGTCTGTTTCATCAAAGATCACTCAATCATTTATTTTGGTTCTCTGACATAAAAAATACAAAAAGTAAACGGACAAAACAAAATGCAGAGATACCTGGGAGAGGGCATAACTCGAAATAAAGTACAATGTACCTGCCCGCCCATCAAAAATATAAAACAAACACAGAAAAATGCGATTCACAATCGGGCAGTACTTTGAGGGTAATTTAACAAAAACAGCAAAATTGAAGTAGATAATTGAATGTAAACAAACTTCTAACAACTTCTTCCGTCTTTGGTTGATGAAAATTTGAACCACATGTTGGTATCCAATTGGGGTTTATTGAGAGATCACCAGAATATATAAACGAAGCCTATTTTAAATACTGTGTAGGCGTATGAAATTCTTGATTGTGTATAGCACAAATCCGAATAAGTTGAAAGGTATAGGACACATATATTTTAAAAGCGTAAGTCTTATATTTCCTCTAACATTTTTTGACGGAAATACAAAACACGTGTTCTTTGACATGTGTTTAAAGAAGTATATTAAAAAAAGTAATCAAATATATATACTGGTGATTTCTTGTCGGGATGGTAAAACTTGATTCAGACAAGGATTAAGCTGGTGCGTTGAGACTCATTGTTCTCTCTGCAAATCTGATGATTAGACTGGCCTAATTAATCTTGTTCTCGATTCAAAATAGTAATCGAAAGGCTTCGTGTTTTTAGTCTGTCCTCCATCTGTGCTTCTAACGACATTTTCCACTTGGTGGCACTCTAGAGCAATGTATACGTTGGATTGCTCGTGGCGGAGTACTAACGGGCTGTTTGGAACACCATGTTTCACCAATGAACACAAATAATTTTCGTTTTATGTCATAATACTGTTGCTGATGAAAACTATTGTTCGGTACTATTTAAAAAGTAATTGATATTCCTCAAGAATTTTCGACCACGAGCATTTATTTCGACACAATATCGCCGTTAAAACAAATCTTTCTACTTTCCTCCCTCGTACCTATAAGTTCGACAACCAAGGGACAGAATTCATAGAAAACATTTTGAGCACGCGAATTCCATTAGCATTCTGCTCCAATATTTTATTAATAAAATTCATTAAGCCTAATGCCTGGATCCGTTCTTCTGGATATTTTGATATACGCCTCTACTAATAAGCTATATTTCCTAATCTATATTATATGTTCTCTCCTCGTAAATAATGACTATTTTAAATAAAATAAAAAACTTTTTTGTTATATTTTTGGACTTACACTTGAAGACTTATTTGTTCTACAGAGTTCCTATGTACGTATCATATATTATTTTAGAATAAATACCTTCCTCTTTCGTGATAGAATTTGTGTAATAATTGTACTGAAATGTAATTGTCGGAGAGAATTTGATGATATGCATTGGGCATGTCGTCTCCATAATTAGAAAGCTTAGCAGTTTTTGATTAGTTTTTACTTTTATTTACTTCCCAAGCCTCTGCATTCATTGGAAATCGCGAAGTTTCAGTCATGATTATTTAATTGAACTGCACTAGCTCCACCATCAGGTCAATATATAAGTCCAATGGATCGGTAGGATGGCTAAACTTCGAGAAATTACAGGTCGATTT